ACATACACACATACGCACACACACACATACACACATACGTACATACAAACATACCTGCACGCATGCATGCATACATACATAATTACGTGTATATATATATATACATATCTAAGAATGCTATACATGTGTGCATTATGAATACATGCCAGAGTGCCAGATTCAGCTGCACCCTGAGGTCATGCCCAGGACCTGTTGCGCGAATGCCACGCGGCCCGGTTCGGGGGTCCCTTAAGGACGAAATGAACCCTAAAAATATTTACGGTTAAAATACCATATTTAGGAATTCATAGTATAAGTTATAAGGGTATAGGGCCCCTACTTTTAAAGGGTCATTTCGTCCTTAAGGTCCTGGGCTGCCCTTGACGAAATGTGTTCAGTCTCTAGCGACCTTTGGCGCTGTGATGCTTTTGGCTTCAAGGGTCCAGGGTTTCGGGCTTGAGGGCTGGGTGCCTCCAGGGCTTTGGGATTTGGGGGTTTAGTTCGTTAAGGTCTCGGCTTGAGGCGTTCGTGTTCGGGGCTTGAAGAAGATTTCGGAATTGGGCGTTCTGCTACCGACGAGAGCGACGAAGCAGTTCGACACTGCAGCAGGGCATGCATCAGTTTACAGACACTGCGGTTTAGTATGAAGTTGATCCGTGAGCTCTGATTGATTCCAAACATCTGCGCCATGCTCTGTAGACCCGAAGCCCTAAACCCTAAACCCGAAAACCTAAGCCCTAAACCCTGGACCCTAAACCCTAAACCCGAAACCCTAAGCCCTAAACCCTGAACCCTAAACCCTAAGCCCGACACCCTAAGCACCAAACTTCCATGATACGTTGCGCAAGTTGTCGGCTCAGGGTGCAGGGTGCCGCGTGAAATGTTCCTCCAGTTTCGCTCGAAATGAACCCTCGGCTCTTCAGGGATCCTCCTTTCGAGGACTTTCGCGAAGGGTCCATGTGCCCATTGCGGCTCTTCAGGGGTTCTCTAGAGGCTATACAACCCGGTTTAGGGTTTAGGGTTTAGGACTTAGGGACGAAATGAACGCTAAAAGGGTTTAAGGTTCATATACCATATAGGGGTTCATAGTATATCGGAATAAAGACCCTACTTTTAAGGGTCATTTGGTCCTCAAGGTGTTCCCAAACTCCAGGGCTCCAGTTGCTTTAATAGAAGGTTAGGGCTTATAGGGTTTTTATAGGGTTTAGGGTTTAGGGTTACGAGCCAGCTACTATGTCTAGGACATTTTCAGGTGGATAGTTACCGTTATAGGAGCCTTATAGAAGGTCTATATACCGTATGGAAGCCCTATATACCCTAAACTCCAGCCTGTAGATTCCTTTAACTATGCAGCCCAGTATAGGGTTAAGGGTTTAGGGTTTCCAGTAGCCCGTTATTTAAAGAACTGGAGCCCTAGGGAAAGTTCCGTGGCGATCTGCGCTAGCCATGCCTGCACGGCGCCCCTGCAAGCACTCCCTGACCAGGTCTAAGTCGAAGGCGTTGTCTGTTTGTGTCACTAGGTGGCACTTCGGGAAACTTTAAAGTATGGCTTGCGGTTCCTATACAGGAACATATTCATAAATGCGTTCAAGAGCCCCAGAACTACAAACCCTAAATCCTTCAAGGGCCCCAAAACTACAAACCCTAAACCCTGAACCTTAAACCTTTCACGGGCCCCAAAAACCCTAAACCCTAAACCCTACAACCCTAAACCCTAAACCCTAAACCCTAAACCCTAAACCCCTAAACCCTAAACCCTAAACCCTACAACCCTAAACCGTACCCAGGTCATCGTATGTGCTCTCGGGGCCCTCGGGCTGAGATGTCCCTTGCGTGAACCTTGCTCGAGGGCCTGGCTGGGTGGTGGCGCAGGATGGGAGGGCGGCACAGGTGTCTGGCCCTATACCCTTATACTATGAATCCTTATATGGTATATTCACCTTAAATCTTTTTAGGGTTCATGTCGTCCTTAAGGTCTAGGTTCCCCAGTAGTATCCTTTTGCCCTTTTCTTTTTGGCTTCCCTTGTCAAAGCCGAATAGTAGGAAAAAGGGTACCCTTATTATGAAGGGGCGAATACCCGACCTTTAAACTCTTTGGGTTTTTACATTTTAGTAGTAGTAATCTCAAAGTCTAGCCTTTTGTTTCCCTGGCTTATTGGGGCAGTAAGGTCTCCATGCTGGTTTCAATCCCCTCCATGACAAAGCTGCAGCATACTCAGAAGATTATGCGGAGCTAACTTTCTTTGGCCTCTTTAATCTGGGCGTTTGCAAGGGCACTGAAGCAGGAATTGGTACGCCTGCTACTTATACAGGGTGCTACCTGGAGCTTGCGTTTGGTCCGTGGCGGGTCGGCCTAGAGGGCGGTGTCAGCACCGATGGGCCCTATGCTGGGGGATTTGGTGCCGCTGCCCACTCTCTGGGGGCTGAATGGCCACCCTAATTAACCAGGTTTCAATACATTGCATGCTGCATTATTAACCAGGTTTCAATACATTGCATGCTGCATTGACGCACAGAAAGGGCTGATGCCAGACAGGAAAAAGTGGCACACTTCTAGGTGGATGTGTAGTGCTGTCTTTTTGGTTTGAATGCCCGCTTTGATCAGGAGTTGATCAGGACCTGGGAGGTGGCAATGTTTGGCATTGCATCTGTCGATGTCTTGTTCGTATCACAAGCTGATCGTTGTACTGGTATGTTGAACCCTAAACCCTAAACCCTAAACCGTCCATTGTGTTGTGTGTATCTCAACCGTTGCTTTGCTAAGAACCACCCACTGACCCCAACACCCCGAGGCCCTAGTCAACCAACAGGCCTAAACCCTAAACCCGATAAGCCCTATAAGCCCTCAGCGCCCTAAACCCTAAACACCCCCCAACCCTATAAACCCTAAACCTATAAACTCTAAACACCCTAAACCCCCCCATAAGCCCTAAACACCCTAAACCCTATAAGCCCTAAACACCCTAAACACCTCAAACCCTAAAGCCCCGAGCCCCAAGCCCCAAGATCAGAGTTGCCCACCCCTGCTGACCACGACTGGGAGTTGAGGGTGCTGGGTTTGGGATTCATGTCTTCGGGAAAAGAGGCTGTAGGTTTAGGGTTTATGGTTTAGGGTTTAAGGCTGTAGGTTTTGAATGAGTTCGATGATTGTTATCGCGACGAAAACCCAAGCGCCGAAAGATCTTTGCCACTCGAGGCTTTCGTCCTCCAAGTCCCAGCACTAGCAACGTGATGGTTTAGGGTTTCTAAGGGTTTAGGGTTTAGGGGATGCTACTGAATCCGGAGGGTTTGGGCAATCAAGGGTTTCAGGTTCACGAGGTTTTTTCGCCTTTTTCTCTCCGCACCCACATTTCTTGGTGCAGGGTCTGTTTATGTGGGGCTTTAGAATTCGCGCACGTCCATTGTTGGAGAACCTAGTGCCTGGCGTCAATCCTTGCCTATAGAGCCCGAACCCCATAGACTGTACCAGATCCTTTGCGAATCCTTGATGCCTTAAGAGGTCTAGACCTTAAGGACGAAAATGACCCTTAAAAGTAGGGACCGTATACCCTTATACCAGGAGTCTCTATCTGGTATATGAACCTTAAGCCGTTTTCGGGTTCATTTCGTCCTTAAGGGACGAGGCGGATTGGCCTACAGGCTATACCCCAAGCCCTACCCTGTCAGAATCTCGGTGTTTGGGACATGTAAGAGAAATTGGGGTTTAGGGTTCAGGATTTAGGTTTCGGGTTTCCCTATAAACCCTAAACCCTAAACCCTAAACCTATACAACCCAAAACCCAGAACCCCGAGGCTACGCGGGCAGCGAGGCTTTCCGCCGTGCCCCGCAGTACGTCTCGGGCTGCTTCGAGGACTTTCGCGAACTATACCAAACAGGGGTTCATAGTGTGAGGGTATAGAGCCCGGACTTTTAAGGGTCATTTCGTTTCGTCCTTAAGGAACAGACCATACTAATTTTGAAGGAGTCTTACTGGATTCGAGCTTGCCATAGGCCATAGAATAGGGTTGCTGGACCCATGACGGAATGGCTCGAAGTAGTCTCTACATAGGCACTTAGGGGCAAAGTACATAATGTATTGGTAGATCGAGCCTTAGGGTTTAGAAGGTAACGAACTTGGAGTACAGCTTGGGGTTTTAGGGTTTAGGGTTTAGGGTTGTTTGGCATTTGGGGTTTGGGTTTAAAGGCTTGGGGTTTCATAAGGGCTTGAGCGTGTCATGCTTTGGGGTTCTCCCCTTGATATAAGAAAGGTTTACATCTTCACCCTAGAGCTCTGAGAACCTTTAAATTGTTTTCTCTTGAGCTTTGGGCATGAGGGTTTGGGATTTAGGCTTTAGTACCCTAAGCCCTAAACCCCAAACCCTAAACCCTAAACCCTAAACCCTATAAACCCTAAACCCTAAACTCTATAAACCCTAAACCCTAAACCCCTGTAGGGTGTAGGTTTTAGTTTAGGGTTTAGGGGTCAAGAAACGGAACTTCTGCCGTAGCAGACTTGTGCCTGGGATCCTCATGTCAGGGCGCTGCTCCCGGAACCGTTAACGGTTTAGGGTTTAGGGTTTAGGGTTTAGGGTTAACTTGAAGCCCCCTTATGGACGAACAATTGACCCTTAAAAGTAGGGGCCCAAAAAAACCCTTATACTAGGAATCCCTATATGGTCTATAAACCTTAAGCCCTTTTAGGGTTCATGTCCTCCTTCAGTCCTAAACCCAAAGTTTTAGGGCTCCTTTCGTCCCTTAAAGCCCTACAGAAGAAAGCGGTTTGATCCGTGGGATCGGCAACCTCATGGAAGCCTGAGCCCGAACCTCTGAATTCGACGTTTGGTGATAAAAATCGTGCATTTCCTTAAGGAGCCTAAATGTAGGGTTTAAGGTTTAAGGTTTAGTTTTCAGGGTTTAGGGTTATGCTATAGATCAGGGCTTAGGGTTTGGGGGTTCAGGGTTTAGGGTTTAGGGTGTAGGGCTTCGGGTTTAGGGTTTAGGGTTACATGCTGCAATACCTTAGGGGCCCTAAGCTATGGGAATCATGGTATATTCCTTATTATGGATAATTACCTATAGTAAGGAATATACCATGATTCCCATAGTTTAGGGTCCTTAAGGTAAGGCAGGATTTATATCATCAACCGTAGTTCCTTGTCTCGGCTGAAACAGGTTAAGTGTAGGGCTGGGTGTTAAACCCTAAACCCCAAACCCTAAACCCTAAACCGTGGTGTTCATGCCGGAGACCTGATGATTAGCTGAATCCACAGCTCCACGTTCAAAAAACGCTAGACTATGAAGTCCTAACCTAACGTACTAACGTTAGGGCTAGGGTTTAGGGTTGAGAGTTTAGGGTGACATCATGCCACCAAGCAAAGTGCAACTGACATCTTGTCTGTCCTGGGCCCTACCAGTCAGAAGCCGTATGTCCCTATAAGCCCTGCAAATGTTGTTTATCTTGACTTGAGGCCTACAGACCCAAAAAGCCCTAAGCCCCTAAACCGCGAAACCCCTAAACCCTAAA